GAGTTCTTGCCAAAGGCATATGCATTTCTAACCGAAATCAGAAAACGTTGCTTTAAAAAGGATATTGAAGGTTTAGCTTAATTTAGATTGCTATCGATCAAAAACACTATCCGCAAAATTGCTTACTTTGGAAATGAGAAACTGAAAAATATTATTCAAAGCATTCAATAATACAATTTATATTTTCTTTTCTAATAAATCTTATAATTAAAATTTCATAGTTCAAAGCTCAACTAAACTTTTTAACGACTTTTTGATTAAGAGACTGTTCTATATTCATGGCCTTAATCTTTAAGAAATACTAGTAGCCCATTTCAATGATAGCATTTTAAAGCTCAAGTTTCCTCAACATTCAATGAAGTCCCGTTCTCCCTGGTAATGCCATTTCTTTCCGCTCATTTTCCACACATTTCGAGTAATTCAATATTCTCGACCTCCCTTAACGTTGTTATAAGGTAAAGAGCAATAAATGGCAACAACAACGGTTGAGGCAACGACCAAATTGACAGTTTGCTAGCCAAGTCACTGCCTTTGCTGCTTTCTCTGCCTGCTCCTCCTGCCCTGCCGACTTTATTGCTAACTATTGTGCACAACGCGGCGTATACGTAATATTTGATTGCACCTGCGCTGCCTGTCGATAGAGTGAAATGGGCAGGTGGAAAAGGGAAGTGGGTGTTGGGTGTTCGGGGGGGTAAATCGCGATTCTCATTTACATAACAACGACTCGGCAGCGAGTGTATTCGTAAGTGTATTGAGTGGGTGCAGTCAATTCGCCGTTAAAAAGCGTTAAATGTAACAAGCCAACCAGCCAGCCAGCAACTACCACAATAAAAGCCAAATTTAAAACTTCCAGCCACACACACTAACTCTCTTATGCGGGCTTTCCCCATTTTTTGCCATTCGCCACATCGCACATGCAATTTGGCTTGTTATTCGCTTGAGTTTTCATTTCGCTGCGACGCCGGCGTATAATTTACATTTTGCCTCGCTTCATGAGGTGCCATAATCATAAATTGACAACTGGAAATTTGCACAAGCACACAGTGAAACGCCCTCAAAGCCATTTCCCCCAGCCGAATTTACCCTTCCTTTCGGCCTTTTGGCCTGTCAGGCATTTTTCGGGGCATTGTATCTGCATTTTTAATGCACTTCTTCCTACCATTAAAGGGCAAAATGTATTCAACTTGCCCTCTAAATTATTCCACCCTCCATGTCCTGCCACTCAGAATCGGTTTTGTTGTTTCTGCAGAATTTGACAAGTTCTGAAGTCGAAAATTTTTCTCCCCCTGCTTTTGTTAGAGGGGCAACAAATTGGCGCGGCTTGTTTACATGCAAACACACAAAAAAAAAAAAAAGAAAAGAAAAGCTGGCAAGGAGAACAAATATGCAGCGTAATGAAAATTCATCGGTAAAGGCAACAAAAACGAAAAGTGCCGGAAAAGTTGCTGCGAAAGTTTTTGCATTTTTGGCTACAAGTTTTCGGGCAAGTTGAATTCGTCGAAAGTTAATTGAAAATGGCTTGCACTTAATTTAGATGAACTTTTTGGCCACAATGCGCCAAGGGATACGCAAAGAGATACAAAATGCGCAAATACACAGCAAGCTGTGTCCACAGACAAACGGCTAATGAAGCAAAGGGGACAATAAAAATGCAAATATTTAAGTGAAAACCGCTCAAACACGAACGTTTCGACTGAAAAACCGCAGAGCACAAACAGAATACGTGGGAAATGCGACTGTCTCCGTTTGTGTGAAAATTAACACGCAATTTTCAGGCCGACAAGCGAAAGCAAAGCGAATAAAAATCAAAATAAAAATAAAAACACAAGTGGCAAAAGAAAGAATGGACTCGCTTAAAGCCGAAAATCAAACAGCCAAAAGACAACACGCAAAACGATCGATAAAGCCGGCCAGATAAGTAAGGTCCTGTGCGAACCGAAGCAAGAGTTGCCATTTCCAGCTGTCCTGCAGCCAAAAGCTGAATTGCTGCACCGAGAAAATAAGCTAAAACCATTGATTGGATATCTTATCAATAAACTTACAAACTAAGTTTTTATTGCAAAATGTACTTCTAGGTAATGCCTTCGAATACAAATTCAGTTTACGCTTGATTATTATTTATTCCTATATTTTAACACTTAAAGTAAGTTATATAAACATTAATCACGAATGAGTTGTTGGAATATTGTTTTAAATGAAATATAATTATTTACTATTTTTAAATACAATTTTATAACAAAAGAAAACTAATCTTGCAATACTGTAAAACTACTGCAAAAGCAATTGAAGCATAATCTGATTGATACAATGTTTGGATTACTTTTAAACAAAACAATAATGAAATAATATCGTTGGTACTAGAATGTGTAATTAATGTTAACTTTAAAAACTACCAAATTGAGTACTGAACCTTCAGAATGTTTTTCTCTGTGTAGCTACCTCTGGCTCCCTTGCCCTACCCCCACCTCTGCCTTTCTATCTATCTCTGTGTGTGTGGCACACTTTAAAGCATTAGTTGGACTTTTTATGGCCCTGGCATTAGGCGCTTAAGACGTTCAAGCCAAAAGGATAACAACAACGGTCGGCAGACGACGAGCGACAAACGGACAGGAGACAGGACACTGAGAGGGAGAGGGAGGGGACGAAAAAGAAGGAGAACGGCATATAAAAGCAAAGAGGCTAAGTGACAACTAAACTTAATGGCACTTCAACAACAGCATGAAGCAATGGACGCAGAAGAGCCACCAAACCGAGCACAGTGGTGTGGAGAGGGCGGGGTGGGGGGCGGTGAGGGGCGGGGCAGGGGCCTCAACGGACATTAGCCTCATTGAATTGAATGACAAAACAAACGACGGACAGCGAGGCAAAGGCAAGGCGAACTAGAAGGACAAGGCGATGTTGTGGATAAGGATAAGCAGTGCACAAACACAGACAGAAAAAAATCAGGATCAAAAATGATTTATTACAAATTACTTTTTGCTTTATTTAAAAAAAAAAACTTAAAAAAAGTGTATTATGTTGAATCTCTCGTCATTTAACCAACAAACATATTTATATTCAATAATGAAGTTAATTATACAAATTTTTAATAGAGCAGACAATTTAATTGAAAACCACTCACATAGAAAACTATTTTCTTGACAACAAATATCAGTACCTTGCGCTTAGCAATACAAATAATGAAAGAAATTAAATGAAGTATCCACGAATTCGTTAAAAGAATAGTTCACCCAAATGTTAACATTTTCGGTAAAAATAGTAATTTGGGCATAACATTCCACATATTGGAAAAAAATGGAATTCGTTGCAATCGTAATAAAATTTCTTGTTGATGTCGTTATAAAATTCCAAATAAAATACGATTTATTTATATTTCAAAAATTAATTTTTCTTAAAACTTATTTTGAATCAATCTTTTTTGCCCAGTGCACTCACATACAGCAGAAGCATGGGCAATAAGCGTGTAAATACAACAACAGCGATGAGCAACGACAACGATGAAAATGTTGTATCAGGACAGCATTAAGATAAACCCAGCAACAGCATCAGGGTATAAATAACGCAGATCTGGGCGGGAAAAGCGAAAAGGGAAAGCGAAGTGGATGACGAACTCGGTGATTCCCTGGGATCCTTGGCTGAAAGATAATACAGATAGAGAAGGAGCGCTAAATTGGTAAGGTATTTCTCAAAGGAGAGGATAACACGAGATAATCTAGGCGAGCTACATGAAAGGGAAATACTTTTCACCGGGGAAAAAAAATTATGTTGTGAAATTAGGTAGTAAACAAATTTCCATTTACTTTAACAAAGGGTTCTAATTAATCTGGTTTTAAAATCAAACAGCAAACATTAAGCCCCCATTACGAAACAATTAACATCAGTTTTTCCAAAAACATTATACTATAAAAATCCAAAACAAGTAAACACATTTTGGGTTTCATAAATAGCATTTTCATTCATTGTTTAAAAATACATAATTTTCACTGCATTTTATTAACCATTTAATTCACAGCCTTTTTGAAAAAACTCTTAAAACCTCTTCCATTCTTTAGATATTTACATTTAAGGTAAGCCAAAATGGAATCCTTTAAACCATCCCCACCCCCAAGTCATTACCAACCTCTAAAATACATTGAGTGAGGTTCGAGAGTGACCCAAAAAATATACCCTCATTTGCCTCCCCATCCTCAGGATCTCTGCAAATGTGTGAAAATAGTGGACAATTTTCCGAACCTCCTCCCACTCGTTCTATCTCCCTCCCCCTCGCTCCCATTGACATACCAATGGCTTGTGGGTGGCCATTCTTTTGGCCGCTGCCATTTTGTTGCCATTGTTGCCGGACAATTTCCGCTTCCGGCGCGTGAACGCAGCCAAAGAAAAAGCGAATCGCGAAGCGAACTCAACTGAACTGAACTGAAGTGAAGAAGCGAAGCTATGTCGCATATTGGTTTATGCATGAGCCTGTGCCTGAGCGACAATGGGCCACGCCCCCTCAAAGGCTGTGAGCAGTGAACACTTCATTTGTCAAGCTTAGTTTGGTTATAGCAGAAGACACAGTGAATGGGAGTAGATTTCCCAGCCTGCACTGAGGACATAAGCTTCATACAAAAAAGTGGAAAGAACTTTAAGGTTTAGACTGCTTAAGTTTATAAATATTATATCACAACATAATATTTACCTAATAAGTGTATTTTGTAGGAATAATTTCTTCAAAATATGCTTCTTTCAAAGATCTTAAAATTATTTAAGGCAATGAGGCCAAATTAAATCACGACTGATTGAACATTATTCAATATAATTTATTCTTTTGTAATTTATTATATTTTAGCCTTATTCCTATCTTATCTAATAGGCATTTGAGAATGCTCAACTTTTTCAGTGCGCATTTAAATGAGGCACATTGCATTTTGACTTGCTCGAACTGAACTAAGGCAAACTGAGAACTGAGAACTGAAAACCGAAAACTGCAAAAAGGGAACGTATTTCTCAAATGCACTTACCGAAACTGCATTAATTATTCAGCAGCCATGGCTGAGGACTGGCCCGTCCGTGTCCGTGTCCCGTTCTGTTCTGTTTCGTCCTGGATCCGGGGAAGTCCTGGCCTGGTCAGCGGTTTGGGCCGAAAGTCGACAAGTTGAGCAGCTGAGCTGAGGCTGGGGAAACCGATGCATGCCTGCAAAACAGAGGGAAAAGTGGCATAAATATTAAATGCAAAATAGCACAAGAGTTGAAGCTGAGAAATCCCCAACTGCCAGTGGGGATTTTCGCCTCTACAATTTCGTCCTCCCTCCCCATACTTTGCTAAACATTTTACTAAATTATGACGTCTTTTCTATTTTTTTTTTTGCATTTCTTCTTTTTTTTGTATAAATAAATCAAATAAAATATGCGCGCGTTCACGCTGAAAGCAGAGGCCAAGACAGTGGCGTGGGGTGGGGGGAAAGGGGGTTGGATCCTTTGTGACCTGGTTTTTTGGTCATAACAATATTGCCAACCGAAGCGTGGAGCAGTGCACACAATTACCGTGGCAACTCAGTTCTCAGTTCTGCCCGCCCACCACTGGGCAGGGGCGTGGTCCGCCCCCATTTTCTCTGAGTGTATGTGCGCTGACGTCATTGCTGCACTCGCACAATTACCATTGCAACAACAGCAAAAGACGACGACGTGACCTGGCGACGGTCACTTGGGCTTCACTTTAAATATGTGTATTTATGTATGTGTGCGAAAAGTGGGCTGGGGGCGTGCTGGTGGGCGTGGCCGGGGAGGGTGGCAGCTGCCAAGGTTAATCAGCTCGTCTGCCCATTTTAATTGGCCTGCTGCCTGGCGGCGCCTTTAAGTGAGTTATAAAATGCGAAACTATTTCGACAACCATCTCCCTTGATGAGCTTTAAATTTGAGCAGCAGCTCGTAAAGCTGGGGCAAATGGAATAGGAGATGAGCTGCTGAATTTAGAGGAGTACAAAGTGGAGTGATAAAGCAGGAAACGTTCCCACAGCGAAGGATTCCTAACGATCCACTCAATTTTCCTGAACTGATGGTCAAGACAAGCCATTGAAATTGCTTTAAATGCATAGGGAGAAATGCTTTTAAATAATAAATAATCAATATAAATTATTAAGTATAACTTCTAGAAAAACAAGCAAACAAGAAAAAATATCTTTAAAAATCAAATACTTTTCATTATTTAAGAATATTAAGATTGAACACCAATTGTATACTTGCCACATTAATTTAAAATGCCTAGAATAATATATTGGAAAATCTATGGAATTTTCTTTTGGATTACAGTTAATCCCCGAAACAAAATAATGCATTTGTAAATAAGTAAATAAGCAGCTGACTTTTAAGCCGTGTTCGTATGGCTCTTTATCGGCTTTAAAACCCATAATAATGACCTGAATTCCAGGAAATAATTGTTTCAGTAAATGCTCAGCATTTTTAAGGGATCCTCTTTATTGCATTATTCCCGGCCAAGATGAATGCGCATTTAATTTGGCATTTCCCCATCGTAGTTTCCAATTCCACCATATCTTCTGCCCAGAACTTCCCCGCTGGCCACATTTGAAATCCATTCTAGGGCCATGATTACACTCTATCGCTTATTTAAACGCCTTTTTATTTAACTATATAAAACTGCAGCGCATCAGAAATTAGAGAAGCGAACGCCAGAGGCGAAAATAAACAAGCGAACGTGTTGAGTGGGTGGTGAAAAGGGGGCGGGGGTTCAAAGTTCAAAGGGGCGTGGGTGGCGGTGGGAGGTGACAGAGGGTCACAGCGTGATAACGCTTTGTAAATACTTTTGCTGCACTTTGCTGCTTGCACTGCTGTTGTTTTTTCTAGCTTTATTTTTTTGTCGCTTCCTTTGGCTTTGCCATCGCAAATTTTTATCTCCATTTGCGAGCTGCGCTTTTCCATTTTCCCAACCCCCTGCAGCGGGGCGAAAAATCACAGAGACAAGGCTGCGCTTTTGTTTTTCCAGCGCGAAAGGGGATATTATTAAGCGTGGATGTCAACGGCGTTATCGCCAGGGCAGCTCTAAGTGCAGGACACCAAATAAGAGGACCAAAAAAGGAAGACAGTCAGACAGACAAACAGACAGTCGGAATGGAAAGGATACGAAAGGAGCCAGAGACAGATCCTGCGAATGCGATGTGTTGGGAAAGCTTTTTGCCAAATTAAATATTAAAACCGTGTGCACTTATGCAACTTTAATGCAATTTGGCCAAAGTAAACGCCGCGTCAAGAAATGGCCTCTGACCGGGCCACCACCACGTATACTTAATTTGCGCCAATTTCCTCTCCGCCTATAAAAAAGAATTAATGCACTCGTAAGGCACAGCCATGCTAAGAGACCATTTACCTGGAAGCCAAATGAAGCCGCAATAACAACGACAATTACCAAACAAATTAGAACTGAAAGGTGACGACTTTTTGATGCTCTTTATAGTAAATTAAATTCCGATGTTGCTTGTGCAATTCTATTATTTTTTGTTAACGAAATTTTTAGTTTTATTCAACCTGTTTATTCTTTACGATAAAGTTAAATATATTTCTCAGACTTAGGTCCATCTTCTCGTCTTAATGGTGAGCAAAAATATACAACTTTTTGCTTACCATGAACACGAAAAATCGTCCCTAAGCCTTGTAATTTGTATAATTTGGATTGTTGGTTCTCTGAAAATCAGGTATTCCCCCCGGGAAGAGCATTTCAAAAGCCAATAAAGGGAGAGTCGCCTTAATTTACAGTCCCCAGGCAGAAACCGTGGTTGAGGTAAGTTTATGCCGCGCGAAGGACATGAAAAATTCAGCAGGCCGCCACTACAAATGCCGAAATGTCACATGGTATACGGCTCTTTAGGCAGGACCGCCTCATTTGTTGCTTTTTGTTGTTGTATGTACAGTGCTTGTTCGCTGTTGCACTGCAACTTAAATCACATCCTTCCCGCTACAGCAGAACATGTGATTTTCGGTCAGACACTGCACCAGTGAAAAGGAGCTTGAAGGGGGGCAGGATATATAAGCATGTATCTGCATGCCACTTGCACTCTGCTACTTTCTTGGCATTTTACGTGCCCTGCCGCTGAACCCTTCCCATTACATGTGCCCCTTTTCCCGGGGAAAATCCCCTGGCCATTTCTCATCGCCTGAAACAAAGTCGCGCGTGGTTTCTTTCCTTCCGCTTTTCCTTCTCCCATGACTACATTTTACTGCATGACAATTTATTGAGTTCCCCTTGTTTTCCATTGTATTTTCGGGGGTTTTTTCCCCCACTTTTTTCCCGCTGGGTGGTAACTGCTTATTTTGCCAGTCTTGGCTGGTTGTAAATTTTTATTGTTCCCCTTGTTTTTCCACCAGATACTATTTTATTTGCCAAGCGCTGTGGCTTTTTTTTTGGCTGTTTGGTAACAAGAGATCTGGCCCGGGTCTCAGCCACAAAGTATGCTAGAAAATGCACCTAAAGTTGCTTTGCAGTCCTTTTTCTCTAATGGTGGTGAATTCGTGTGTTTTCAATGATAACTATGCGGTTAAACGGAAAATTATCCTTAACTTTGTCATTGATTGGCTTTATTTATATTGGCACTTTATTTATATTTTTATGTTGCACAAAAGTTGATTGTTTGATTAAGCCATAGATATTTTAATATGTATAAAAATATATTTAATTTACAAAGTGCGAGGCATCTTTCAGTCTAAAAGCTTTACTTTAACAATTTGTACTTGATTTTGTTTATGCTTTCGCCACCGTCTTTTCTCCTCTTCCATTTCGGTTTCGCTTTGTTTTATATGCAAAATTTAGTAAATAACGCGAGTTGCCTGTGCTTGCTTTAGTTTTATTTGCACGCTTTTATTTGCCGTTGGCGCTGCTGCTTTTTACTGCTGTGGGGAAACCCCTTTGGTTCTCGGGAACTCCCTTTTCCCCCCTTTCCCCTGCCATCTGCGGCTTGGCACACATTCCCACATTGTATTTCCAGCGATTTTATTTACATTTGCCGTGTGTTTTTCCATTGCACTGCCGCAGTTCGTGAGCAAATAATGTAGCGACTCCACCTCATCTGCTTGGCATGCTAAAATTACTTTGAGGATTTGATCCATAATGCAGGGACCAACCGCACTTGATGTATTTATGAGCTGACCGCAGACATCGCCTCGCCCTTTTATTGTACAGCCGCTCTAAACTCCATTTATAACTTTTAACCAACGCCCGAAAAAGCCAATCAAAAGCCACAAAATTCTGCATGCTCCGACACCTGATGGTGGATGTACATACGTTGGTGCGGTGCTGTTGCACAGAAAAAAGAAGGAAAAATTAAAACCGAGCCTGCCAACAGCTGTGGATATGTGGGTGCATAAAAAATGCACACGCCACCGGCCCGAGGGGAGTGCCACATGCCACCTGCCCCCGTGGCCCCCTCACCGCCCACTCGCCACCTGGCCGCGTCCAGTTTCAGCAATTGACCAGCCACTCCACCGCCCAGGAGCCACCCAATACCCAATCCCACCTACAGCTGCGGCCACAGCAACAGCACCTCCCTTAAAGAACAAAATCTATCAAATTGTACTTTAAAATGCAGTGCAAATGTATAAACAATTCTTGTTTCCAGGATATTCGTTTAAAGATATTTTATCCATTTGTGTACATAGTATTTCAGATGAGAAAATACTTACAGTTTCATTTATCATCGTTTTCTTGTTAAGAAAATCTTTAATACTAGCTATACCTACCAATGCATATATTAATTACCATATTAGTTTATTTTAATAAGAACAGCTTTAATTAAAGATGCCCTTTCTTATGGTTAAAATAAAGTAATACAAATACTCCCAAATAAATAATGAGATTATAAATTGATAAAAATTTTTTAAGAGTTGTATAATTGCCATGTCTCATGAAATGCATGCCAGTATTCTTTAGCTTGTGAGAACCAATGTAAAAGGTTGCAAATTTCAATTCACTTTTGTTAAAACCTGTCTATAAAATTTCTAAGTCCCATCGTAACCACTTAAATAAATAACCTCCCTTGCTATTATTTTAACCCAAATTGTATGCACTCAAAACACATGGTCAGACTTTAAATACAACCAACATGGCCGCTGTCCTCCGCCCTGACTTTATATCCGGTGGTGGAAAGGGGGAAGGGTGGTGAAGGGGGGTGGCACAGAAGCCTTCTGTGTGTGAACCTGCACACATTGCAATTTGCACTCTGCAAGGATGGCCAGGATCCCCAGAAGTTCCCCTCTTCCCCTGAACCTGCTGCGGTCATTTGGCGGTAAGCCGCCTTGTCATCCACCTGGCAGGACATCTTCGATTTGAGCATTACATCGACCTGCCAACGCCCCCCGCCCCTTCTCCGCCCTTCCAGCGAACTATTAAACAATAAAAACTGGCATAAAACAAAGTTTAAACGTTGTCCTGGCCACAGCAAGGATTTTTGTTGCTTGTTGTTGGCTGCGGCTCTTTGGGTTTCGCCGGGTGTGTGTGTGTGTGTGGGTGAGTATGGCATTTATGGAAAGTGTGGCATACATTTCTGGATCGAGGGAACACCGAGCACTGGCGGTATCACGTTCAACTAATTTGGAATTAATGGAATTCCCTGAATAATTGAATTCGAATCGCTGGCATCTGTGCAATTAGTCGCCGCTGCCATCAAACTGCAGCCACACGGACATCCAGTACACCTCATTATATGTCATGTCATCTCATTATGGTTGCCCCAAAACTCCATCGCCCTTGTATGTGTGTGCACGCTTGAGATGTTTGTCTGTATGAGCGTGTGTGTGTGTGTGTGTGTGTGTGAGGGTGTGGATATTCGGGTGGGCATATACATTATGTAAAGCCTCAAGCCATTGCCATATATGTGTGGCATGCAGATTTCGTGTGCCGTTATTTAGTGCATGACAGTTAAATGAGTTGTGGCCTTTATCTGCCTTGGCTTAAACTTAAGCCTTTAGCTTTAAGGCCAAGACCCAAACGGTTATTGCAAGAAAAGCGAAGAAGGCCAGAGCAAGCCAATGATAAAGCCAATTAAAAACTAAACTTTTTGCGTAATTACGCTCGAAGTTTCCCCATCTAGCCACATAAAGTTCGATGCGATTAGAGGTGGACGAATGGCGCCGGTCCCCGAGTTAATCATAAATCGCTCCAGAGGAAAACAAATTCAACTCCTGGCGGACTGACGTGGTCCGAGGACATCGGAGTAGCCCAGTTATTGCTCATTATGCATCCCCAGTTCTGCGGCTGGGGAAAACACAATAGATACTTTCGCCATGCAGTTGCCATGCGTCCTGGCCAAGGACACTGGCCGTCCTCCATCACGCATATGTGCTCTCATTTAAGGCTCGACAGTATGGCAATGCAGTTAACCTGCGAATACCCTGAGCTCCGAAGCCCTCTACTTTAATATTTATTATTGCCTTGCAGTAATGGAGACTCACATTGCGAATTTAAGTTGGCTTGGCAAAGATTGTCTTACGAACTTTAATACAATTTAAAGGATTAAAATAATTGGATATTATACTCTCACATTTGATATAATAAAATATAATAAAATCAGAAAGATTTTTGGAACTCAATGTCGCTTAAAGTTTGTATCTTAATTGGGGTTTTACTTATATGATTGTGTTTTAAATATAAACTATTTAATATACGTATACTTAACATTTTCTGACCATTTTGAGCTATCAAATAATACCTTTTCAGAATATTTACAGCGCTTTTCAGTCGTTATCTTCTGAATTTAAAAAGGATTTATTGAACCCTAAAGCGAAAGCGATTTCATTTGAGGAAATAAAGCCCACTAGATCTCATTTCCATTTAGCGGTGAGCTGCGCGAATGCATTCGGAGCATTTTCCATTTTCCAAGCGACACACCTTTAATCGACTTCATTTGCTCATTAGGCAGATGGCAGTGCGTGTTTGCGGGCACATGGGGCACATGTGGCACTCCCGATCGGGAATGGGAACAGAGCCCCCTAATGCCATTTGCCATCCCTTTTCAGCGCATAATTGTTTCCTTGTTAGTTGCCACCTGAGCCCAGATCCTGAGCCCTGCGATTCAGCCTCAACCTGAGCCACGACACGTTAAATGCATTTATGAATGGGTAGCAGGTTGCAAGTTGCTCCTGGCAGACTGCAGGTTGCAGGTAGCTGGTTGCTGGTTGCACGTTGCTGTTGCTGTTGCCTGGCTGCTGGTTGATGGCATGGACTCCCCATCAGCGGCGTCGTCAATTGCAATTACTTGCAAGGTCCTCCGTTCTCCGTTCTCGGCTCTCGGTTCTCCGGCAGGGGACATTTAGTCCCCGCATTCATTCGCCCCAAAGAACCAGGCCAGGACATTAACGCTGCAAATTGTGTGTCCTTTGTTGCGGTTAGCACAGCGGCAGCAACAAACACGACACCGAGAGAAAAAATTGCGAAGATCTTGCATCATTGCAGTTATCCTTTCATAGGAAGTTCTTATTAACTATATTTAAAATGTTATATTAATTAATAGCTGGAGTCTCAAAAATAAATCCATAAAATGATACAAAAAAGTATCGTTATATTTTTCTTAAAAAATGCACTCTTTAAGCTTATAGCTACAGAAATATTTAAAGCCTAAGATCAAATCAAAAATATAGTTAGGGTAATTAATAGTGTCTCTACCAATAAATCCTTTAAAATTAAGTGTAGCATAAACAAATAATTGTATGAATTTGTAACTAAAACTGATGTGATTTTCCTTCAGTGCATTAGCAGTAGCAGCAGTCGAATCCTGACACAGTTTTTCCATCTGTTTTCCCATGGAGGAGCAACGCAGAGCAGTTCCCATCTCGCATTACGCATACGCCGCGTGACCCGTGGCAGGGCTATTAATTTAGTGGCCCAGTTGGGCGGTCAGTAATTGCATTTTATTTGGCCATAGTCGCTGCTTTGGTTTAATTGGTTTTCGTCCGTGTGCAAATGTGTGTATGTTTTCGTTTCGTTTGGGCGCTGAAATCTATTTGGACCTTAATTAAAATGCAACAGTCCGTATGCGCAATGTTGCAAAAAGTCAAATGGTCAGCCGAAATAAAAGGACAGCCCTAAATGTTTGTCTCGGGCCCACCGTACACCTCTTTTCCTGTCACCTCAGGGGCTTTTGTTTGTGGGCGGGCTAAAGATAAAATAACTGCAAAATGTTGACAGTCTTCCCCTCTGTTTCGGCCACAATTTTATTGACAGCAGAATGGCCTGATTGCTGTTGGCCTGGCCAAAATATATATAAAAAAAAGGTCTGGCCTGTCAACACTTGAAACACACGAACAGAGAGATGGAGAGTCGTAATAAACGTTCGTTTTGCTTTCAAAATTTGCATTGTTTGCGGTGGTCCAGAAACCATTTCGATAAGAGACTTCAAGGCCCTGTCCAAATGTTGAATACCCTTTGAAATACTGTCGAAGGATTCCGAGAGTTGGTCTTTCATTTCTGGGTAGAGAAGGGGCAAAGGTAAATGGAAATTCGAGACAGCTTCTGTTCATTGTCAGAGTTTGCCAGGGATGTCCGCTCGTTTATCACTCGGTTATGGAGGGGCTGTTCAACGACTTATGAGAGCTCTACACTAAAACAAAATTCTTAAAAATCTTCTTTTTGGCTATCAAAAGACATTGAAACTGATAATGTATTCTCTCGAAAATGTTCCATTAGGAAAATCTATTTACAAATATTTTGAATTGTGCTAAACTATATTTTTTCATATTTGAAAGTCAGAAAATATTTTTTTTCATTTAGATTTCTGCTAAAAAGACTTAATTGCCTTTTAAAAAATAAAATAAATATTTATTGTCATTCTGTTTAGCCAAATTTTAATCAATATGTATATTTAAAAAACCTTCTCTCAGTGCCTAAAAAAAATGATAGTGGGTGTCTGCTGCAAGGACACCCGAAAAAGAGGCGGAGAGAACTGACTGCCGAAGTGATTGATGGTTCAGGGGCATGTCAATCGCCGGGCCCTCGACTGCCGCTGCAGTTTAAACAGATTAGAGCCACTTTTCAGTGGGGCAGAACCGTAAAAAAAAGGGCCAAGCAAAAAGCTGAAAAAAGTGGCAGCAGCGCGTTTATTGCTGCATGTTGCGAACCTTGCTCAATTTGATGCGACACCTGGCCAAGGACCAGAGAACAAAAGGAGCGCGACCGTTCAGCCGGCAAATGTTTTACACGGTGTCCACTTTTTATTTGCCTTACAAATTAAAATCCAACACATGTTGTTTAATTAAAAAGAATTCGTACACACAAACGGCACACGGATGCCAGGCATGTATATATTTATGCTGGCGCGAGTGTATATTTATGCATATCGCATACGGCCATAACAAGGTCCTGGACACTGCAGGACATTGGCAACACAATACTTTTCGACTAACGAGCGTGAAAAATCATGCGCCAGCAGATTGCAACACATTTTGCGGGGGTGGCAAGTATGGAAAAGCAGCTGGAAAAATAAAAAAAAAATGGAAAATAAATGGGGGCGCGGGTGGCTACAGTTCAATTAAAAGTTTTGCAAATTACGAAAGTTATCCCAGAGATGAATAATAAACAGGACGGAATCGTTAATGGTAGTGCGTGAAGAATTAAAAGTAAATACGCCAGTTAAACACAAGATTTCATTTCGATTTCGTTAAATAGCGCTGGCAAAACATTTACTTTAAACAAAAATTTATGTAAAGTGACTTAAACATATAAATAATAAATATTCATTTTATAAGAAGCATCGGCAAACATCATTTAACAAACGTATTTAGGAGTTTTAATATTTATAATTTTATTTACACATTTATACAGCTAATAAAGGTTTACTTTTATTCTCCTTCTTTTTATATTGCTTAAGTACTAAAATACCAAAGGAAATAAAGTAGTTTTTGTTTACTATTTTGTAAAGCCAACTAAACTTCATTGTCTGCTTGGCAAATGAATTTGCACTTGATGTCAGACCATCCAACGCCCATGGAGCCGAAATGTAAATAAACAACGCGTCTTGAGATATCTGGGGAATAAAGGGGCTGTACCGGTTTCCATTGCAAAAATGAGGCAGATGCGCCAGAAGCCACAGATATGAATTGATTGACATCCTCACGATTGTTGATGCCCAGCCAGTATTCCTCTAGTGCTTCCAGTTTTGGTAGGATGGCCTCAAGCTCCTCTTTGTTCCTGAATGACGCCAAATAGCCGCCCATCAGAAGACATTTACTGGCAGCATTGTCCCAAGTATCCTTTTCGTCCCTCTCGATATAGAAGCGTCTGGAACCGATCTGCTCAAACTTGTCAGATAAGCTCTCTTTCTTTGTATTAGTTGAAGAGTTTATCATAGCCAGAGCCTCAATTATGGCTGCTAGTTGGGTTTGCATCTCGTCCAGCTTGGCCTGCGTATCATGTTGCAGTTTTTCCAGCCTGGCTCGAGTGTCATTCATTACCGAAGCTAAGGAACTCCACTGCTGCTGATGCTTTACATGGTGATCAAAAAGTGGATGAAGTGCGGACATGCAGAAGGCACCGCATTGATTTGGGGCGTCAATTAATTCACTTTGAGATTCCTGTACCTCCACCAGAAAAAACAGACACAGAATAAAAAATCTGAACAAAAAACTATTTCCTGCCTTGATCATTTTGACTTTAAGTTTGTGCAACAGCTACTGACGAGAGCTTCTACGGAACTAATTCTTAAAAATTGTTCGCCAACCGCCGAAGTGCTCTTTCAAAACTAATATAATGATAAGCTATTTAAATTGAGACTCATGGACTTAAAGAGTATATAAAAGTGTTTTAGACTTATCATCAACAACTGCTGGATCTCAGGAAAGATATATAATACGAGAAAATAAGTAAATATTATGGCGCAAAAATCATTGTCAAATTGAAAGATTAAAATGCCTGAATATTTTTTTCCCCCAGATTTAGTGTTATCATGAACAAGTATTTTAGTAAACTAAGTACTTTATAGTCGCGACGCCCAGCTAAAGTATTTTTTTCTGCAACAACATTTGATAAGGGAAGTACTTCCCTAACCGGATGCTCTTATTTTGTTATAAAAATATTTGTATGCTATCAAAACTGGTATTCATATTAACAAGGCTGCATCACCAACTTAAATATATGGAATTTCGTTCGGAATCATGGCAATCCGTCTTCGTCATCTGCTGCTCCATTAGATGCAGCGAAATAAAAGTTGTGGGTTAAACTTACTGCAATCGAAATCGCATTATGGCCAGCTAATTTCTATCTTTTTTTGGAGCTTACCATAATTCAGGGAAGGCGAGGAAAACTTTTTCCCCAATTTATTGGCCATATCAAAATAAACCCAGGCCGCAGACAAACTTTCCACATATGACGACAAGTTTTCTTTGCTGCCACTTAGCCTGGGTCCCGGTTTTCGCCACTTTTCTGCACTTTCTTTGGGCTACTTAACTGCAGCGAGGAAAAAGCCAGGAAAATACCGAACGGAGATACTTCTGAGTTGGAAAAGCGAGGGTAAAAATGCTACAGCTGCAGCTGGCAAAAAGGAAAATTTCTAATGAAGTTTGCAACTCGGATGCGGAGCGGGCACACAAAAGTAAATTGATTGCAATTGGAATCAGTAGCAGAAGCTCGTAACGTCAATCAAATTGAATTCACGCAGAGCGGAGGAGCTGCCCCATCCAGGTCCTGGCATCATGGCCAGGACATCAAAGGCATCTCAAGGGTGGAGTGGAGAAATGGGAAGCTGAATACGGAGTACAGAGTGCAGAGTACAGGGTACATGCATCATCAGTGTGAAACTTTGTTAATGAAATAGGTGTGAGAGAGCAATGCAATAAAAGTTAAGTGAAGTTGAATGCTGATGTCAGAGCTGCGGAAATGCGGCTGAACGGGAAAGGGGATCCTTGCCAGAGTGATTTAAAACTGGGAGCAACTGCATCTGCTGATTAAAAACGTCAATAAAAATCGCCTGCGAATGCGAAATTGCAGCTGAATGCGAACGCTCGTTGAATGCCAAATGAGTGCAACTAATGAAATGCGATGCGATTTCGGGTGGAGAGAAACTCCAGGAGCGCGTATTTGAAATAAGAGTTTTCTCCATGGCACATGTGTGAAAAGCTACGTGTGGTAAGCTAGTGCAAAAATAAACTTGAAAAAGAACAAACCCATCAGCCACCACATGGCTGCTTGAAGAAATTGCAGTCTTTTGAAATAAGTTTTCGACTTTATTGGTCCCATATGAGTGGCTTAGAGAACTTCAAAGTGTGGCAAACTTTATTGAATGTAATACCAAATTGGTTTCTATAAAACAACTATGTCTAAAAGTAGGCAATGATACTTTGCATAGCTCAGGAAATATCGAAAAAATTGTTTAAAGCAATTTTAATGTTTCATTATTCAAAGTTAATGGAAATAAAAGAGTTATTTTGATACATTGCAATGCATTGTTGATATCAATTAATAAACCATGCACAGTCTAAAAGTAGACAATGATAATTTGTATAAACTTGAAAGTGTCTTTCAAATATTTGAAGCCATTGCAATGAAAATTAACATTTCAATATTACCCTTTCTTTATCCAAGAAGTCCTTTGAAAACTTAATTGAAATAAATAACTACATTATTGACCTCCATTTGACTTATTTCGCTGCATTGTAGATATCAATCAGTTGACCATAAGCTTTTGCTGAAATTTTCATGCTTCAACTTTCTTGTCTTGCTTTCTTCGTGTCTCCATTGTTTCTGGCTTTGATAATGTCATTGTTGCTAAAGTTTTCAGCACTATCTAGCGGGGGAGGGGGGGGGTGGCAAAGCCGGGAGGGGGTGGAAAAACCCCCACGAAGGTTGCTGGAGGATGACGTTCGCATTAAAACGAACGTCAGCTGGGGCCAGCTTATCACGCTTCGAGCATTAGAAAGTGTAGCACGCTTTTAAGCGCAACTAAAACTGTCTGCCAGGGGTGGCGAAAAAAAGGGGCGGCGTGGGGCCAAGGGGGGGCGTGGCTGGCAAGGAGGTCAGCTCCAGGTTGATGCTCATTTGTGGGGAAGCTGCAGCAGTCTCTGCAACATTTGTCAACATGCCAAGCGTGTCTCACTCGAGTTTTTCCCCCTAACACTCTCTTTTGTTTGGCTGTGTGTGTGTGTGTGTGTGTGCCCGAGTGTGCCTGTGTATGTGTGTGTGCCTGTGTATGTGTAAGTAAGCACGGTTGACCTGGCGCTGTTTTAACTGTGGTTAACATATTTTTCAAGCGCTTTTTGTGGCCAGCAGCAGCGGCAACAACTTCATTCTTGCTTTTGTGTGGTTTTTATGGCTGCGGTTGTCCAGCTGCCACAGCTGCCACTCCCCTCCCTTACCCCCTTACCGCCTTGCCGCCTTTTGTTGTTGCCACAAAACTAAAACCAGAAGCTGCGTGTTAATTTTACATTTTTACGCTTTCATGGCCATCACTTGCGTGCGGCATTGGAATGCATTCATCTACCTCGCCCTCTCCCTGTCCCTGTCCCACTCCCACATCAGCCTTCCCTCTCTTTCTCTGGACAGTTTAGCTCATTGTTTCGTTAAATTTTAAGCAGTTGATTCGCAGCTTTTTTCAGCTCGGTTGCCGTTAGCCTTTATGGCCGCAACAGTTTAAGCCGATGGCCGTTTTACGACTGACTTTTGCACGCGGCCTGATGGACTAAGCGCGGATTACGCATACGCCACTTTTGCCGCCCACTAGAGCAGGAATAAGGGAAAAAAAAAGAATACATTTGGGTCAACTGTCAAATATATTATATCATTGAATAAACAGATGATATTTTTTAAGAGTTTGTTAACAGAAAAACGCAAACAGCTACTTTTAACATAATTATTAATTATAATTTAATATTTCATAGCAATAAATAAGCAGATGGAGTTTTTAAAAATACATCTCAATTTCTTAAGTTGACTCTGATAAATAACTTTTTTTTGGAAACTCCCATTATGAATTACCAACAAATTCATATTTATGATTCTGTTCGAAAATAAAACCAATTTACTTAGTTAAAACATATTACAAAGCCAACAAGCCAACAATTGATGATTTTTTGCAAGATTAGCACATAAATCTTTATTTATATTTATTTAAAACGTAAAAAGAAACAATACAGGAATAACAAATAAAATAAAAAGTATGTGAGCTATTTCTAAATGGGGCATTAAAAATGCAATAATTAAAAAACGACTAAAAGCACATTTTCTTTTTTGTTTGTCATAAATGAAAACCACATTTAAATGCCATTTGTTTAAGATTTAAATCAATCAATTTAACCCGCTCTGATTTAATCGATATTTGAATTTCTCTGGCAAGCAGATGTCATAATTTTATTTTTAAATCAAACATTCCATGAATAGCGTTCGTTGCATTTTTTTGCAATTTTCGCCATTGCTTTTTTCTGTGTTTGCTCAGCGTGCGGTCTTTGACATGGTCCAAAGGGGCTGGGGCGTGGCCAGAGGGGCGGTGGGCGTGGCCGTGGCCGTGGCGGCAGCACTTGCAATTGGCACTTGGCAGCACTCGCTTTTGCTGCTCGACTGACTTTTTGGCCGTTAAAACCGGTCGAGTGCCATAAGCTGCTATTAATTTGAATTATACGTCCATAATTTCCCCGCTGCCAAATCGAACGGCAACTGTCAATGCAATTTATATGTGTGTGCCGTTCCGCTGGATCCCTTGTGGCACAATAAAATCGGTCCCACAAAACAGACAGCTCAGTGTTAAGCGCATTATCGGCGCACAGATGGTTGAGAATGGCTCTTTCCACCATAAAGATCGGCCTAAATGCTCCCCTGGCCTCATCCAATTTAGTTCGCAGGCCATGAAAAATGCTTTGATCGCTTTTGCCAGCACGAACAGGGCAAAATCAAATGATTTCCGTGCTGGCCGACAACGGGAGCAGCAGAAACGAGGGCAAGACATGGCAGCGGAAGTGTTTTCCCCGATTTCACAGAAGAAGGAAAGCCAAGCAGGAAAATACTGTGCAATTTACCTTTCAACCATTAAACGTCCGTGGCAAGAGCACAAAGCGAAATCAAAGTGGCATGAAAGCGCACCGACGACCAGGGGCGGGGTTCAAAGGGGGCATGGCTGGGGCAGTGGCAGTGGCAGGAACATGAAAACGATAGCTTAACCCCTTTGCAACATGCGGCTAATGCTATTAGCAAAAGGGTGAACTGGGCGGCGGAGGCGACACAAAGGACGAAATTGCAAAAAAATATTATTGTATGTGGGACTCGGTTACGGATTTGACCATCAAAGGTGCCAAGGGACAGTAGGAAAATGTCATTGAGCATCTGGAAAATGTGCACTGGGAAAAAAACGTTGACCTAAAATAAGTTCTTTTAGAGTTTCATTTCATAAATGGGTTGTTAAAGAAAAGTTGTACATTTTAAATTTTGCTGCTTATATTTGGTATGGCTTCATATATTTTAAAAAAGTTTTATTTTAAATTAGTTTTAACAGAAAGCTTAATGCAACATTTTGTATTTTTAAGGCACCTTAAATTTCCTG